CTTTTGTATAAGGGATAAAAACAAGATGCAGGATGGCATAGTAGTTATAGTAAAACTTTTTTTTAATTTATTTTTTCTCAAAGCTGAGGACCAAACCCAGAGCCTTGCGCTTGCTAGGCAAGTGCTTTATCATTGAGCTAAATCTCCAACCCCTTATTTTATTATTTTTATTTTATGTATATGAGTATATCGCCTGCATGTATGTGAGTGCACCCGTGTCACGCAATGCTGTGGAGGTCAGAAGAGGGCTTCGGATTCCCCTGGAACTGGAGTTAAGGACGGTTCATAGCTGCCATGTGGGTGCTGGGAATTGAATCCGGGTCCTCTGCAAGAGCAGTCAGTGCTCCTAACCACTGAGCCATCTCTCCAGCCCCATAGCAAAATTTTTTTAAAATACAATGGAATACAATTTTAAAAACCTGAAAGCTAGAATAGTAAATATGTAAATTAGTACCCATGGTATATTATCATCATTAGCAAATGCTTTGCTTGTATATATGGACAGTGCAATAGAGTTATTGACTCCACCATCAACACAATGTGAGCAATGTGTTCTCATTATGAAATGATGGGTGTCCTTTTGGCTTGTTATCTCATGGGATCACTATTGTATATATGGCCCATCACCATCTAAAACACCATTCCTTGGAGCTTGGCTTCAGCACGTTCACAGGAGTATGCAGTTGTTACCACAGTCAATTTTAGAACAAACTTTTCCCTCTCCCTACCCTCTCTCTGTAACAGGACCTCTTACAGCCCAGGCTGACCCCAATCTCAACTATGTAGTTAAAAATGGTCTAGAACTCAGAGCTGGGTGTGGTGGCGCGTGCCATTAGGAGGCAGAGGCAGGCAGATCTCTGTGAGTTCAAGGCCAGCCTGGCCTACACAGCGAGTTCCAGGCCAGCTGAGGCTACAGGGAGACCCTGTCTCAAAAAGACCAAAAAAAAAAAAAAATGGTCTAGAACTCCCGATCCTCATACCTCCACCTCCCATATGCTGGGATTAAAGGCATGTGCTATCATACTGGGCTGAGTGACTGACTTACATAAACTTGGTTTGTAGAAGTATGCTTTAAAATGCACTCCACATGATGGTAAGTCTTGACTGTCAACTTGATAGGCTCTGTAATCAATTAAGAGACATACCTCTGAACAAGACTGCAAGGGTATTTCCAGATTAGCTGGCAAGAGAAGGCCCTCCCCAAGAGTGAATGGCACCTTCCAGTGGGCGGCACTTTGTGGACTGAGAAGTTACCAGGGTCTCATCCTCTTCAGGGTATAAATGACCATTGTTAGACTACCTGGTCCCTATTAGTTGTATGCCCTTCTAGTAAGCCCCACCAACTTTTTATTTTTTGTTTTGAGACAGGGTGTTACTATGTAGCCCTAGCTGACCTGGAACTCCCTATGTAGACTAGGATGGCCTCCAAATCACAGAGATTTGCCTGCCTCTGCCTCTTGAGTGCTGAGATTAAAGGCATGTGTCACCATGCCAGGTGTAAATCCCCTTTTATGATATACATATATTTTGGGCTGGAGAGATGGCTCAGTAGTTAAGAGCAGGGCTGCTCTTACAGAGGACCTGGATTCAGTTCCCAGCACCCACATGGCGGTTAACAACAGTCTGTAACTCCAGTTTCAGGGGGATCTGATACCTTCTAATGACCTTTGCAGGCATTGCTTGACATGGGTGCACTTACATACATGCAGGTAAAACACTCAAAACACATAAAATAAAAAATAAAGACAGAAATTAAAAATATTAATATACAATTTATTGATTCTTTTTCTGTAGTGAACTCTAATGTATCCCATAATAATGGAATTGCATTTCTCAGAACATAAATGTACAGCTCTGGCTTTAATCCCTACACAGTACAAATAATAATAATAGCAGTAATAATACAACAGGAACATGTACCCATACTTAAATGGCATAACTGCTCAAAAGAATTAAAGTGTGCTTTAAATGAATGAGCTGTACAGTATATAAGTTATAGCTGAAGAAAGGTTTTTTAAAACTCACAAATTAAGTCAGGGGTAGTACTGCATTCTGGCCATCCTGATAGCCAGGAGGCAGAGGCAGGAGGAATGTGGGGAAACAAGACACTGCACACCTCGGGATGTAATGCAATGTGATGTTCTCAATATGCATTTTTGGAAAAGAAAATTCCTGTTGAACTCAGTCTAATTTTTAACCTAGAGTAATTATTGAGATAAGAAGACTACCAAAATCACAGTTGACCATGGTTAACCAGGATTATACAAAACATACTACAAGTAAGGGGAACTGCCATATCTACTGGAGAGGAGGGCTCTACTCTTCTAGACAATGTGTTTAAGTCTCTCAAGGCACAGACCTGTTACATTCTTGTTGGAAGCTTTACACTATGTACCTACCCTGGTGGACTCCCACAGTCACCAGGCAACAGCACACCAAGGCCACAGTCAACCCTATTTCAAATGGACAGCAGAAAGATTCCTTCCCTTATGGCTTCCACAATCCTATGTGTCATGGAACAAAATTATAACATATTTAGTTTAAAACTCTTAATTGGCTTTGAGATTCCAGAACCAGGCAACACTTCATTTCATAAAATAGAATGGGTATACCAATGAACTGAGAAAAGGGGAGCTGAAAAAAGTAGAAACAAAAATCAAAAAGCAGATTGGTCCATATCAAAGTTATTTTCCTTGAAAAATGGGAGACAAGAAGATGGAACAAAAGAAAAAAAAAACTGATCGGATACATCAGATTACTGGGTACTGAAGATACAACCCAGAGCCTTGCATTTAGATACAACTGGCCTGTTTGGGAATCTGGACTACTACTATCTCTCTTGATTTCTTGAACAACTTAGTTTCAGTTTGGCTGAGTAGAACTTTAAATATGGGTGACTTCATTTAGATTTTTTGTCTTCCCAGGCTTAGTTCAAAATAATGACTTCCAGCTGGGCATGGTGGCACACGCCTTTAATCCCAGCACTTGGGAGGCAGAGGCAGGCAGATCTTTCTGAGTTCAAGGCCAGCCTGGTCTACATAGCGAGTTCCTGGGGCTAAAGGGAGACCCTGTCTCAAAAAGACAAAAAAAAAAAAAAAGACTTCGAATAATTTTTATTTAAACATTTAAACAACAACTCTCAGTTAGACTCTAACATTGTGTATAAATACATCCTCAAAATGTAAAAAGCTGATCATCTGATAATAATAGAAAAGGCTTTATAGATGTGCAGGCAGGTGGAGCCAGTTTAAATTATGAATAGAATGTCTTGAACTCCCCTTGGTGACTTCTTGTTTGGGACCCCAGATGATCAGCATGCACTACAGAAGAGCTTTCCCAGGCTACCTCTATGAAAAAGGAGATGGGGGAGGGGGAGGAGAGAATTTGTAGTAGTTAACTTTTCTGCTGTTGTGATAAAACATCACGACCAAGGCAATTTATAGAAGAAGCCAGTCCCATGATGGGCTTCCTCTTGCAGCACCTCCTAAACGTCTGTAAACAGCACCACCAACTGAGGCCAAGTATTCAAACACTTGGAACCCATAGGGAACATTCTCAAGCCTTCACAGAGTCACATGTCCAGCTCTGTTGATTGCTGTTGAGTTTGGGTGGCTTCATCTCTTGTTCTTGTTGCCCTCTGAGAATGGGAACAGCAGTGTTTTTCTATCTCTTTATCTGGGACACTAGAAAAGTAATATATGTAAAAAATGTTCTGAGAACTATACGAGGATTATAATTATTTTTTAAATATATTCTCCAAGTAGATGTTTCCCCCTAGTCAAAAATCTCTTATTTCCTAGTCGTACTTCTAGAATTGTGCTCAAACCACTCTGGGATACAGTTTGAATAAAAGCCTCTGAAAGCAGAGTGTATTTTCAATTAGAGATTATTTAGCTTTCTATTTGCTATATAACATTTTAAAAAGGGTTTTCTTTCTAACTTAAAGAAGTTTAATTTAAATACTAATAAAATCTAAACATATTATATCTGGAATGTTCTTTGAGATGAGACCTAGAGATATTATGCATTTTTAGTTCTGTGCCAAACCTCTGCTTGATTTAAACAGTATAGTCACCCTTACGTCCTAGTTTGACTTCTATGGCTATAAGATACCCTGACATAAAGCTACTTAGGGGAGAAAGGGCTTAGTTTAGCTTACAATTCCAGGTTACAGTCCATCATAGAAGGGAAGTCAAGGGAACAGGAACTTAAAATAGCAGTCACATGACACCCACAGTCACAAGCAGAAAAAATGCATGCATGTGCCTTCTGCTCAGCTCACTTTCTCTGCTCTTATACAATTCAAATCCAAATCCAGAGACTGCCACCCATTTTTAGGCTGGGTCTTCCTACATCAGTTAACACAGTCAAGACAATCCCCCAAAGACATGCCCACAAACCAACCTAACCTAGATAACCCCTCACTGAGGCTCTCTTCCCAAGTGATTCTAGATTGTGTCAAGTTGGCAATGAAAACTAATCATCAAACCTTAGTATCCAAGGGGATTGGTTCCTCGTCATACACACACCCACTATGTATATGAAAATGTAAGGCTATTCAAGTCTTTTAAATGAAATATCACAATATTTACATTTAACCTGTGCAGTTCCTCCTATATACCTAAGTCACCTCTACATTACTTAGAACACTGAATACAATGTAAACTCTTAGATAAACAGCTATGCCATATTGTTTACATAAGAATGACAAGAGGGAAAAAAAAGCCTTACATGTCCAGTCAAATGTCTTTTTTGTTTTGGTTCTGTTTGGTTTCTTGAGATAGGTCTTATGCTGCAACCTAGTATAGCCTGTAAGTCATAGTAATCCTCCTGTCTTGAACTCTTGAGTGCTGAGATTATGGGAATGAGCCACCAGGCCCAGCACTGCAACAATTTTCCCCAATATATTCTATCTATGTTTGGCTGAATCTGTAGCTGCAGAACCAGTGGATAGAGAGGCTCAACTGTATATAATTCAGCTTTAAACTCAAATATCATGCTTGCTTCAGCAGCACACATAATAAAACTGGAATGCTATGAAGACTATTGCAAATGGTCTCTGCACAAGGATGACAGGCAAATTCGTGAAGCATTTCATACTTTTAACTGCCCTAAATATGTATGCATGTATATGTAACAATAATAATCAAAGAAGAGGACAAGAAATTGAGAGGGAGTGGAAGGACATGGGAGGAGTTGGTGGGGTCTGGGAGGGATGGAAATAATGCAAAGACAATACTCATGTATGAAATTCTCAAAAATAAAAAAAGTAAAAGTAAAATTTAAATAGAAAAGAATAAACACAAATGTCCACTTTAAATATTGTCACTGACAGCCTTGGCCTGTGTTCTTTTAAGACAGGTTCTTTCATGGTATTAAGAGTAAGGATTGAAGACATGAACTAGCAAGGTTTCAAATTAATATTCCAGAGCTGGAACCAGACAACTAGGCTTTGCCTAACACAGTCACTATGAAATCTTTATCTGTACCACGTTCCCTCTTGATTTCTTACCATGGCAGGTTAGAGGCTGCTAAGACAAACACGAGATCTTCTGAGTGTGCCAGTCCGTCCATCTGTAGCAGTAACTCTGTCTTCATCCGAAGGCTTCCTTCATGTTCTCCCCTACAGAGGCAAGGAGACACAATTCTCTCACATGATGGAGCCTTTCCCTTTATGACAAGAACAGCACCCGCAGCAATGACCAAGTGACTGTAGAACATGCTCCATTCTAGTAGCAAATGAGTTTAAGAAAACAAACATTTTGGCTTTTTTTTTACATGGAAAAAGTAAATAATATAAGGATAAGGCGCTGGAGAAATAGCTCAGCAGTTAAGAGCACTGTCTGCTCTTGCACAAGACCAGGTTCAATTCCTAGCACCCACACGACAATGGTCTGTAACTCCAGTTCCAAACAAATCTGATACTCTCAACTGATCTCTGCAGGCATTGCACAACATGGATGCACTTACATACATGCAGGCATAACACTCATACACATAAAAATAATAATAAATAAAAATATTTAAAAATATATATGGATAATATTTAAAAGAAAAAAAGTTGACACAGAACTAGAAAATATGAAGGGTAAACAGTGCCACTAATTAGATTAAAATACCTGGCTATGTCTACCTGCTCTATTATTTACTCCTTTAAAATGGCATAATTGCCAGGTATGGCGGCTCAGCACTTGGGAGGTTAAGACAGGAGAACTTCCAATGAGCTTGAGACTAGTCTGAACTACACAGTTCCAGGCCAGCCTGGGTTTAAAAAACAAAAAAATTTGGTTGGAGAAATGGTTTAGAGGTTAAGACCACTGGCTGCTCTTGCAGAGGACTCGGGTTCAGTTCCTAGCACCCACATGATAGCTAAGAACTGTCCATGACTCCAGTTCCAAGGGAATCCAATGCCGTTTTTTGACATCCTTGAGCATTGCATGACATGGGTGTTCTTATACACATACAGGCAATACATTCATACACATAAAAATCATAAAATATTTGAAAAAAATTTTAAAACAAAAGTAAGCAATTAATTAAATAATATGATTGGAAATAATCCCTTTCATTTATATAGCAGGCATAAAATAATTCTCATGCAAAATTTCTTTTATTATTCATGTATGTATGTATACAATACCTGTGTGTCTCTGTGTATGTGTACATTTGTGCGTTCATAGAATTCCTATACTACATTTGTTTCACTTTCTGGCATCACAGTGACATGGATTAGAAGCAGTTTTCTGTGTAAATTTATCTTCCATTACTATTGCCTATGACCCTTCCATCAAGAAAGAGCACACAATGAGGATCTGAAAAATCCATGTTAGTTTTAAACACAGATCACACTATGCAGACTCACCTAACTCCTCATTTGCATAGATGTAGTTAAAAGAACTCAAAAAATTGCATTTCTTGGACAGCACATCGAACTTCTCTCTTGAGCATGTGTGGTGGCAATCTACACCAAGCACAGACTTGGGATTCTTTCTTTCCCTCAGCACTCAGCCAAGTTTTATTGAAAGCAGAAGAAATAAGGTGGAGAAAGAATGAGGTACTATACCTCTGGCCTGTACACACACTCATATCCGTGTCACATGCTTCTGCACGCACATGTGCAAACACACACACACACATATATACGCCCCATACACTCACAAAAATCAAGCAAATTTTTTAAAAAACCAACTCTACTTGGCCTTTTGAAAGCATAACCAGAAAGTTTATACCTGAGAAGTGTTCCTTCCTGCTGAGGTCATTTTTCTGAGACTTAATCTTTAGAAATAATCCATGTGACATATTTAAAATCAGACATGCTGAGCCATAACCTGGTATGAGAGAAGCAATGGCTTCCCCGGCCTCATACACCATCAAAGACTGCCTCCAGGGAATGAAATGCAGAAGCCATCGTGGGCAAGCCCCAGTCCCCACCGGCAGCCCTCTGGCTCCAGAGGAGGCTATTTTGAGGCAGCCGGGCCTTCATGGCAGCCTGGGATCCTGTGGCTGGATTATCTTCAGGCCTGAAAGCCACTCTGCGGGGAGAGGGAAGGGAGGATGACATTTCCTCCGGTTATAAAAACTACTTAAATCAGCTATTCAGTTAACAGGATCTAATTTAAAGACCTTTCCGTGTGTCTGCAGAAAATTTGTGGGCTTATTAATAGGCTCATTCTGCTGGTAAATGTCGATGGGCTTCCGACCATCACACACACTTACAAAGAGGGGAGAAATGATGACCAAAAAACCCCGTCTGTTACCCAGGAGCCATGCCTCTCTGACTCATCACAGACTCCAGCTCATCTAGGAAGATCGTAGAAGGGGCATGATAGCGGGCAAGTTCAAATAGCACCTGGGAAGGGAAAAGCAATGACAGGTTCAAATTCATATCCTTAAGTTAGTCCTCAATATACACTTAAACTGATGTCCTCAGATGCTCCCAGGGATTAAATTTAGAATGGCTGTAATAATAAGCATTCAATAACTTTATAACCATTGGCATTATTTCTCCCTGCTACCACCCCAGGGGTTTGGATGCTCCAATTATTTCCATGTATCACTTGATAAAATTAGAGCCAGAGTAGCAGTAGTGGCTATTTCAAGGTTACTAAGGATAAGCGTGTGAGCTGAAGATGAAACTCAGTTCCCAAGCTTCTAGGTGCCTGGTGAACCCCTGGATACCATGTCAATGGCACGCTCTATATACACAAAAAGCCTTAGAATATCTACAATCATGTGATGACTTGTTTTCCTTTAATATTTGTAGACAATAGCAGCATTGTTTTTAGAGGGAAGAAATACAGAGAAAGGACAAAATTCCAGTCATGGATAACAAGCCTGAAAGTTTTATCCTTTTCTGCTCCCAAGGCTACCTCAACACTGCTGCCTGGCAGGATCAGGTTCTTTCTACTTTTTCTTTCTTTTCTTTTCTTTTCTGTTTGCTATTGTTGCTGTTTTTGAAATAGAGATCTCGTATGATAGCCCAAGCTGGCCTGGAACTTGCTGTATAGCTTAGGCTGGCCTCGAACTCATGGTGATCCTCCCGCTGTGGCCTCCCAAATGCTAGAGGATCAGGTTCTTAAAAACAATTCTTGACTGAATAAGATGTTATGTCCTAGAATAAAATATTATAGACTGAACAAGCACAAGAAAGCAACCAGCATAGAACAGGAATATAAAAACAAAATAAAGACACACGCAGAGAGACATAGTGGTGGTGGAAAGCATAAAGATCTAAATCTTTTAGTTTTCTTAATCCTGTGACTGAGCTCTTGAGCACCATATAAATTCTTCACTGGTTGATTGGAGAAAGCAGCAGAGATTTGGGGAAGAGTAGAGATTTTTAGCAGCCATAGGGGATTCATTCTCCATTTCACTTAGCACTAGGAAAGCATCTCAGAATAAAGAAGAGGGCAAAGGCTGAGAAAAGGCTATCACATGGCCTTCAGGAGCAGCAACAGAATACCCCTCTGAGGCCTCTCTGTCAGGAAGTGGGAAAATTCTCACCCTCCCCAGGACTCAGGAAAGGTGTGTCCAAGGTGATGGGGTCAGCACTTCCCTTCCACTGAATCCTGCTTCATTGGAACACTGGCTCCTTCTCATGAACTGAGAACAACAGTATGCAGCTGTTTCCTCTAACTGAAGCAGTCCCTCATTGGACAAGTTGATGAAACTCAGGAAGAAAGGAAACTCACAAGACTCAGGAAGCAAAGGGAACTTGTAAGGCCCAGGAAGTTCCTGAAACTCACAAGACTCACAGGCCCCTGACTAAGGTGATAAAAGCAGTGAGGAGCTGTGGCAAAGAGGAGCCTCTGGCTTAGCTGAACTGCTGCAAGCTGTGCAGGGACTCCAGGATGAAGCTTCTATGTGCCATCACCCATGCTGGAATGGGCTTTTTGGTGATGCAGCTGTCTTTGCTTCTGTAAGTAACACCTAATCTGTGTCCTATAAGTAACCCCAATAAACTCACTGGTTAACTAAGCTAGACTTGCTTAGAATTATTTATTTAGTCTGTTGTTGGTGCTCTATCTGGATGGACAGACATTTGCTCACATCTCCCTAGGAAAAGTAATACAACAAAGAGCAATTCTGGAGAATTCATTACAAACAACTTTTGGATACCCTGACCTCTTACGATAGAGCAAGTAACTTTTCCTTGTAATAAAAAGGGAAGTCCACTCCCTCTGCTTCCCTGGGCCTGCACAACCAGCAGGCCTCTCTCCAACCTGCAGGCCTCTCTCTCAGAGGTAAGTCCATCGCGCCCTCCACGCCTTGACTCCCCCAGCCTCATTCACCCTCCCATCTCCCACCGGTCTCCTCCTAGCCTGGGTCATGTCCCATTCCTTATCTTGGAACTCCAGACACCACTGCATCCTGATCCTTTGCATCAAGACCAACTCAGGGCCTTCTCAGGTCCCCAGTAGCACTGCTTCTGGGCCCTGCCGTAGCCCTCACCTCCCTCTGCTTCCCGGGGCCTGCAACCCACAGGGCTCTCTCCTACTGGCAGGCCTTTCTCTTCCACATAAGTCCATGGGCCCTTCTGTGCCTTGACTCCTCCAGCCTCATTCACCCTTCCATCTACCCCACAGGTCTCTCCTCCTACCCAGGGTCCTGTCCCATTCCTTGTCTTGGAGCGACAGACACTTAGGGAACCACCACTGCCTCCTGATCCATTGCATCCAAACCAACTCAGTTTCTTCTCTGGTCCCCAGGAGCACTCTGGGCCTGGTCCTGCCCTCACCTCCCTCTACTTCCCTGGGCCTATACCATTCGCCATCCTCTTTCCTGGAGGCCAGGACTGACCTTTCCTCTTCCTGATCCTTTGCATCCAGACCAACCCAGCTCCTCAGGGTGGCTTCTCGCCCCCTTCTGCCTTTGGATCTCTGGGTGGCATGGCCACCAGCTGCCCTAGACCAGCATCTTTCCTGGGTCTGGCTCCCAGGCCAGTCCAACACCCAAATTCCTGAGGCCAAAATCTTTCCTGGAGGGATCCAGACCTTAGGAGAAAACCTGAGAGAATCTGACACTCATCTGACTTGGGCCTTTGTGGGAAATCCTGAAGACAAAAGCAATCTGGCCACTCCAATATAAAATCAAAAGAGAGAAC